TGCTCAGTGAAGTGCAGATCGGAGATAGAACGCCATCGCAGTTAAAGACTTACATGAGCAACGTGATTGGAGACAGAAATATAGATAAAAATATATATTACCAGTTATGGTTACGACGACTCCCGCCGAACGTGCAGCAGATCCTTGCTGTCGGAGACAGCGAGGTAGACATAGACAACATCGCTAAAATAAGAGAGAATGAGACAAGCGACTCTACAAACGCTCAACTTCACAGTAGACAAAAAAATCGATGCGTTACAAAAGGAAATTAATGTGCTATGCAACAAACTAGCGAACGTAAATCGCAACGACAAGAAAAGAAGCTGGTCGCGCAGCCGATCAAGAGGTAGAAATCGATCACTCTCTAAGGGAATCCCAGATCCTAATATATGCTGGTACCATCAAACGTTTGTGTACAGAGCTCGAAAATGCAGATCTTCATGCAAATTCAAACAGTCCCACCGATTTTCGGTAACGACTACGACAATTAACGCGGCTCCCAGGAGCAATCGTTTATTTTATATTCAGGACAAAGCAACAGGCGCGCAATATTTAGTAGACGCGGGAGCGGAGATAAGCGTCGTACCCCCATTGAGCAACGAAAGACAAAATATCGATACCACGTTAACTCTTAAAGCAGCAAATAGATCCGACATAAAAACATACGGCAAGCGAAGATTGTCCTTAAATTTCGGACGAGGCGCGACATACCGCTGGGATTTTGTCATAGCAGACGTATCGGTACCTATAATAGGCATCGATTTCTTATGCAATTTCGATTTACTTGTAGACTCACGGCGCCATCGACTCATAAACGGTACCCATACTACTTCGATTACGGGAACACTTACAGAATCTGTTTCTATGAATCTAATGATAGATAAGAGCTGCAACGACCCACGTAAATTATTGTTAAACGAGTTTCCAGATCTTTTAAAAGTAACGTACAATAAAACAGATCTCAAGCATACTATCCAACACCATATTATAATCAACGGGCCACCGGTTAATGCAAGGCCAAGAAGATTAGACCCAAAAAGACTAGGAATAGCAAAGCAGGAATTCGACAAGTTAATGAGGCTAGGCATAATAAGGCCTTCGAACAGCCCGTGGGCATCCCCATTGTACATGGCTCCAAAAAAGAACGGAGAATTAAGACCATGTGGGGACTATCGAGCACTTAATAAGCAAACAATGACCGATAGATACCATATACCACACATACATGATTTTGCCTACGGTATAGAAGGTGTTACAGTATTCTCGAAGATTGACTTAGTTAGAGCGTATTATCACATCCCGGTAGCTCCACAAGACATATCAAAAACAGCGGTATCAACCCCTTTTGGGCTATATGAATTCTTATGCATGCCTTTCGGATTGACTAATGCAGCACAAACAATTCAACGATTTATAGACCAAGTCATCAGAGGCTTACCTGGAGTATACGCATACATAGATGACTTACTAGTAGCCAGCTCCACTATGGACGAGCTCATACAGCAACTACGTCAATTATTCGCGCGATTAAGAGCTCACGGTATTTCCATAAACATTGAGAAGTGCGAGTTTGGAAAAGGATCCTTACAGTTCCTTGGACACATGATGAATTCTCAAGGTATCACACCGATCTCTACAGAAATCGATACCATCAGAGACTATCCGTTGCCCGATACACAGAAGAAATTACGACAGTTTCTGGGACTAATAAATTATTACAGACGTTTCATTCCGAATTGTGTGGCAATAATTCAACCACTGACCGATGCGTTATGGGGACACTCCCGGACATTCCAATTATCAGCAGAGGCAATACAGGCCTTCGAGAACGCCAAGAAGGCACTCAACAAAAAGACGACACTAGCTAGAAGAAAGAGCGAAACACAATTAGCTATCATGACAGATGCATCGAATATGGCGGTAGGAGCTGTTTTACAACAGTTAGTAAATGGCACATGGGAACCGCTTTCATTCTTCTCAAAGCGACTGAATCCTACGCAAACGAGATATAGTGCTTTCGGAAGAGAATTACTAGCAATTTACTTAGCAATAAAACATTTTTGACATATGGTAGAAGGCATAAATTTTACTGTTTACACGGACCACAAACCACTCACAAACGCACTAATTGCAAAGAAAGATAATTACTCTCCGAGGGAGATCAGACAATTAGAGTTTATTTCCCAGTTCACTTCTGATATACGATATATTAAAGGCCAAGAAAACGAAGTAGCCGACGCACTATCATGAACAACAATAAACATTCTCGCCCAATCCAAAATCGTTTATCACGAATTAGCAGCGTTACAAAACATAGATGTCGAGTTAAACAGACTGAAGTCCGACAATACAACCTCTCTGGTACTAAAAGAAAATTCAATCGAAAAAGTGAGTATTATGAGCGATATTTCTACGGCCGACCAAGACCATTTATACCGAAACCTCTAAGACGAAGGATTTTTGACACTTTGCATAATATATCACATCCTGGGATAAAGGCCACGATCAAATTAATCAGCGAACGTTTTGTATGGCCAAGTATGAACCGCGATATACGTAATTGGACGCAAACTTGCATATAATGCCAAAAAGTTAAGGTACATCGTCACACCAGTTCCGCGATAGGTCCTTTTCGTCATCCTGATAGCAGATTTGAGCATATACATATCGACATTGTAGGACTACTGCCGATTTCAAATGGCTTTAGTTACATTTTTACCTGCATTGATAGATTTACGCGATGGCCTGTAGTTGTACCCATAAAAGACATTTCGACCGAAACTATGGCCAAAACCTTAGTAGAGCATTGGATATCTCATTACGGTGTGCCTGCAAATATAACAACCGATCGAGGAGCCCAATTTGAGAGCCAACTCTTTCAACAACTCACTGAACTCCTAGGAATCAAGAGTATTCGGGCAACATCCTACCATCCGATGGCGAATGGTATGGTAGAAAGATTACATCGGCAACTCAAAGCCTCTCTTACATCTGTTATTAGCAATAACGATTGGGCCAGCAAGCTCCCATTAGTCACGTTGAGTTTAAGATCAACAATTAAACAAGATATAGGGTGTTGCCCAGCAGAGTTGGTTTACGGAACCACTTTACGTCTACCAGGAGAGTTTTTCACCTCAGGTAAAAGTGTTCCAACTGATTTAGCCAACTATGTACAACGTCTAAAGCAGCATATGAGTAATCTAGGAGTGACACTTCCGAGGCAACATCAACACCGTGTGTATATACCAAAACAACTGAGCGACAGTACTCATGTGTTTATCAGGAGGGATAATGTGCAATCTCCCTTACAACCGGCTTACGATGGTCCATTTAAAGTTATTAGAAGAAATGATAAAACTATTACAGTAGATAAAGCCGGAAAAACGGATGTAATTAGCATAGACCGAGTCAAACCAGCTTTTATCGAAGCTGACGATCAGCCAGTATATACAGATCATTCGAAAACCGTCGAGTCACTGAAACGTGAGTCTCAATCATCAACGACATCGACGAACAAAAACGAAGAGAAACCAGTAACGACAAGATATGGTCGAAGAGTAAGATAGCCTCAACGATACATAGCTACGATTTTGAACTAATAATTTCTTTCGCATCTTCAGATGTAAATTTCTTTCCTCTTCGTTTTGTATGTGCACATCGAAAACTTTAATTTATCTATTATTATAGTCAACAAATTTTGCATATTCTAATGTAAATGTATATAAACCTTGACTAAAAACACTAACATTATTTTAATCTGTTATTTTATCTGGCCTTACGCACATATACGAACTCAAGCTAACACGTACTTGTAATAATTCACACGATAGTTCCGTCATACATCTTAATTTCATAAATTTCGACATTTACTGTCCTGTTAAGTATAACATATTTTAAATTCGCAAACACAGACACTATTTTGTATCCATGTTCGCTTGTGGGGAGCTATTATAGCAACCATCCTACAATCAATTTCGATTATAGCTAATTTTGGTTGAGCCCTTTTTATAACCTACCTAACAGACATCATCATTTGGGTAGCAACAATTTGCATATTCTTTGCACTGCTATACCACTAGAGCACATGACACTCTATCCGAAATGTTGACTGCTTAAATATCATTCGATGACTCATACTCCTCCCCATATGTGTACGCACGCAAATATTATTATCAGCCTTTGTTTTGCTTTGCTGTGCCCTTATTAAATTTGACTACAAATTGCCTATGTAATTGTTTGCTATTCGCTTGCTTGCTTCTCGTTCGTTTCCTTCGCTTGTTTGCCTGTTCACTCGCTCTCTCGCTTGCCGCTCGTTCGCTCGTTGATATTCACTCAAGTGTTGTTAGCTTTTTGATGTGAGTTATTCGACAATAAACTGTAGTTGCTGCTATCCTTCGTCTTTTAATTTTACGCACCGTTAAGTTTAGAATTATAACCGTTATCGAAGTAAACGATTAACGAATCGCGGCACTACACCATCTTCCGCTTGGACTGGTTGTGCCTGATGCATGTCGCACAACATACCTACAGTTGTCATTATTACATATCAGTAACTACTTCCTATCACACCTATTATCATCTCCATTCACCTCTTTATTCTTGTACTTCGGTCTCCTGATATCGCCTGCATTATCAATCATTTAGCTCAACTACTTATTTATTTGTCTGTTTATCGACTGAAACAATCATCTATTCCTGTTGTTTGAGTCCCCCCTTTATCATTTTTCGTATTGAAGTCAACCGACCCACTGAGTAGTAATGTGATAGCTGCTGATATCAAGAAACACAACGGCCCTGGAACAAACTCACTGACTCAAATTACAAGATATAGAAACACATAAATAACTACCAAACCGACTGGAATTAGTGAAGTCAAGTGGCTAGACTACAACCCATTGGACGTTACCAATTATCTAGAAGCGTACCGAAGCAATAAGTGGGCGTGAAAAGATCAGCTTACACAAAACGTGGTAGGAGTAAACCGAAATTACATCAAAATTATGACAATAACTGGTTATAAAAATCAGCGAATAAAAGTTGCTAATGGCGATTCATCAGCTAGTGATGCTGCAAATCAAACTTTTGACAGTTCACCGGCGGGCCTATTTGAACAACGGACTAATTGGTAATGGTTGCTGGACACTTATTCGAGCAAAAGTAAATAAAGTCACAAGTTATATCACAGTTTAACTCTGGAGTACAGAATACGACGATAAGTTTTAAGATGGAACATTTTTAACATCATTTGGGTGGTACTTGATAAAATAAATTTCACTGATGACAATTCATGTTGTTACTCACACTGCCCCATACAAATATGTGTCCGAGAATAGTTATATTAGGTTTGTGAGACTTCTATCTTCTAATGAACCACACATAATTAAAGCAACGAGGCCTGTCTTGGACCTCGGCTATACTATTATCATTTGGCAACCGTATACTTCTATGTGTGACTTATATTGTACTACTGAGTTATGTTACGAGTTTTATCACTGGATTAGATTTTATTTATTTATTTATTTAAACAAATAAATATTGGTACAAGGAAGCACCAAAAATACATATGCGCCGCACAAATTTGATTTGTGCGAGGGCTTGGATACTGCCCAGGTGCCCAACTAAAAAAGGTGGTTTTCTTAGGGGGCCACACCCGGAGCCTTTGATCTAAATGTCTGATCCACAAGGCAGTGTAGTGTCGTGAGGAGATGCAGTTCCATGGTAGCCGGTGACCAACAATTTGTTTATACGCCATTTGTTCCCTCAGTATACTGGAACCCATGTGCACCATTGGTTTGGAATTAGAGTTTTCCAACTCCCCTAGGTGGATGCGCCGTTTCCACCAACCCGGTTAAAGCGCCGGACATTCGGTTTTCGTCCTCTCAGTTTCGTAAACAACACCCCCGTCACGAGAAGGCAGTGAGTAGGACTTCCCTGGCAGAGGCTGTATACGTGCGGCCATGTGAGAGCGTTTAGAGAGGGAGAGCTAGACTCTCCCCACTCTCGGCAGTACCAGGGCATTTTGGAGCCAATCATTGTATTGGGCTACTGTATTGAAAACAATCAACCAGAGTTTAACTAAGCGATAACACACTTAGCAAATATTCATAATAAGTGAAATCCATTGAGTTATCAAAAAGATTATTAGATACAACTCTTAGCTCCTAATGAAATTTATCTGACCTGCTGAAATAAACACCTAATTGTTAGATGGTAAAAAAGATCATACTAACTAGAAATTAATTTTATTTATTAGTGATCTGATACTGTCAAATTCCAAGTTGTTTAAAAATAGTCTTCAAGAAGGATAAATATTATAAGCAGTTAAGGTAAACTAGATGGTTCAAAAAGGTGCAATCTTTTCTTTTTCAAAACATCCATTCACTTCATATTTGATCATTACTTACTTACTTACTTTCGCCTGTTACTCCCAATGGAGCATAGGCCGCCGACCAGCATTCTCCAACCCACTCTGTCCTGGGCCTTCTTTTCTAGTTCTATCCAGTTCTTGTTCATTCTTCTCATGTCTGTTTCTCGGCGTAATGTGTTCTTTGGTCTTCCTCTTCTCCGTTGACCTTCAGGATTCCATGTGAGGGCTTGTCTTGTGACGCAATCGGGTGATTTCCTCAAAGTGTGCCCTACCCACTTCCAGCGCTTATTCCTGATTTCTTCCTCCGCTGGAATATGATTTGTTGTCTCCCACAGTAACTTGTTGCTGATAGTGTCTGGCCATCGGATCCGAAGTATTTTGCGTAGACAACTGTTAATAAACACTTGTATCTTCTGGATAATGGCTTTCGCAGTTCTAGACGTCTCCGCCCCATACAATAGAACTGTCTTGACATTTGTGATGAAAATTCTCCTCTTGGTGTTGGTTGACAATTGTTTTGAGTTCCAGATGCTTTTCAGTTGTAGGTATGCTGCTCTTGCTTTGCCGATCCTCGCCCTCACATCTGCATCTGATCCACCGTGTTCATCAATGATGCTGCACAGATATGTAAAGGCTTCCACATCCTCCAAAGCTTCTCCGTCAAGTGTAATTTGATTGGTGCATATTGTGTTGTATCGGAGAGTCTTGCTTTTCCCTTTGTTTATATTGAGACCTACTGCTGCTGAGGCTGCTGCTACACTGGTCGTTTTCTCCTGTATTTGTTGTTGCGTTTGTGATAGAAGAGCCAGATCATCCGCGAAGTCTAGATCGTCAAGTTGCATCCTGCCTGTCCACTGTATCCCGTGCTTTCCTCCAGTCGTTGACGTCTTCATGATCCAGTCGATCACCAGGAGAAAGAGAAAGGGTGAGAGTAAGCAACCTTGCCTAACACCAGTCTTTACTTCGAACGAGTCGGTGAGTTGTCCTCCGTGGACGATTTGGCAGTTTAGTCCATCATAGGAGTTCCGTATGATACTGACTATTTTCTCAGGCACGCCGTAGTGTCGAAGAAGCCTCCATAGTATCGTCCTGTCCACTCTATCAAATGCCTTCTCGTAGTCGATGAAGTTGATGTAGAGTGATGAATTCCATTCGATTGATTGTTCCACAATGATCCGCAGAGTTGCGATTTGATCTGTGCACGATCTATCCTTACGAAATCCAGCTTGTTGATATCGAAGTTGAGCGTCCACGGAATCCTTCATCCTGTTTAACAATACCCTGTTGAAGACTTTCCCTGGTATTGAATATTTGATCGTACTTCAAAATATCTTAGTGAGAGAATATTTTGTATAATTTAATATTCTAAACACTGCTGAACTACCTTTTATTGACGAGTATAAAACCAATAGTTGATTAGCGTATTTTGTATAATCAATATACAGGGAGAGTACCTATCCAGAAAAACAGCATAAAACCAATTAATTAACAGACCAAAAAGCAAAACTCACATCATTCAAGACTTAGGCCAATTGTTCAAAACTATACAAAATGGAATGATTGCGTTTTCATAAAAACGCTTCACTTTAAATTATTAAATGTTATTTTACAAATTAATCCTCTACTATTCAAGGCAATCGTCATAACTTCACACATTATATTATCTAATGATCAATTATTGACTAGAGTTAAGTCAATCATTGATAAACCAAAAGAATTTATTGAATTGGAAAAGTAATGATTCATTCTAAACCTGATATTGAAAACTAATTATGGTAAAAATCTGCCAAATTTTGTTATCTCTATAACAATTGACTAATCAGAATGAGAAAAACTCTGTAAATATATATTAATTCTCACGATTCAATTCACGAGTTGATTCTGACTAGACCACTGTTGAAAACCTAAAAGCACTAGACGTCCGTTTCGTCCCAGTATAAGACTATTCAGCAGTGCAAATCCACAATCTAGCACGTTGGACTCAAACCCAAAGCCTTCGGTCTCTTGCGCGAACGCTTAATTTATAGACCGCTGAGCCAAGATTTAACTGTGGTAATATCTAACTTCATTCGATACATGATCTTGAGCAACCGTTCATCCATTGTCTAAGGTAAATAACTATCTCACTCCCGAAACGGATTAAACTTCACTTCTCACTATAACTCCAGGAAATCCATCTTGAAGCTTGCGTAGATTGACTCGTGAATTCAACTGTGAAAATACTGCAATCCTCACAAATCTCCACTGTGATATTTTATCAAGAATTCAAGTGCCGATGTTACAATTGCTAGGTGACTTCAGGAATAAGTGATGTCTTTATCTCTTTTAGATGTGACAACACTTTCTCTATATCACTGTAAACTAAGAAGTTTGCAGGAATGATTTCGATTTGTTGTCTTTCCAAAATTTGATCGGATTCACAAACTCATAACTTGCCAATGAGAAAGAGCCAGTCGGAACAGTTTTGTCACATGAAGTTACACGAGAAAGAAAGGGAGAGAGAGTAAAACAATTTAAACCTACAGGAAATATCAAATCTGTTTTAGACAGTCCATCAAGTTGCTAAACATCTAGCTTAACACTGAATCAGACAGTTTTCCAATAAAAACACAAAGCCTAGGATTTACATAAAGTCTCTAGTGAATCCAAGTCAAAACAGAATTACTCTACACATGTTAATTGTTCAGGGATTACATTACATTCAGAATAGGAAACTGTAAAAGATCATATCTCAATTATTTTGTCACACAGTAGTGTAACGACTGTCGAAACGTATAGCATACTCAATAATATCCATTTAATGAGGAGTAATAATGTATAATAATATGGGTGTCGGTTACCAAAAATGTTCAATTTGCATAGAAGTCAGTGATCTCATTACTAGAAGATCTGGTGTTTTCGCAGAGGGAGAGACTATCGATAGCTCGAAATTGCTTAGCTTTTATCGGAATCTAATCATGTTGGTTGTTTAAAATAGTTTTTAGTGATAAGGAGACCCAGATCAAACCACCGTGATTCTTCAAAAATACGAAAATGTTATGATGGAGTGATTATTGAAAAATTTAAACTATATTACACAATATCGCAAATAAATAGAAATAGAAATCTTACCATTCGACGCTTACTCATTAGCTGTATTTGTCAAATGTTTTCAGCAACATCTGAAGATCCTGATTTTGATCCCTGGTGAGATTGAAGGTATAAATCACCAAGGCGCATTAAAAAGAAATATCTACTTATTAGTCACTAGTTTCCAATGGTACTTCAAATGAGTTCGCTCTATAGCGAATACAACCGACTAATCAAACCAATCTTCACAAAACCCTTTCAGCTGAAATCATGAATAAAATATTACTATAACTTAATACGTTTGTCTTTCAGCAAAAATATTTTCATCCGAGTTCAACCAAAAAACAATACCTGTCCTTTTATTGAATTAACACTACTAAAATTTATTATAAATTGACTTAAATTATTCTAACAATATGTATAGGGGTAACATTAATTAATAGACTGGGGATAACTCAAGAATGGTATATCGTATAATAATATCTACATATTACATTAGTCCATAAATAGTCCTCAAAGTTATCATTCATAATTCTCCACGGGGTACAACACCTCTCCTTTTTTGATAGATCCGGAGTTGATATCCGGATTTTAGAACTCCAGGAATTACCTCAAGGAGCCAGTCCCTAGTGATATTATATATTATATATATATTATATTACTTAATGAATCATTAAAAGCATATGATT